GAGTGAGCAGGACACACCCTTTCACTTTGATTCCTGTCACCCCTGCGACCTTTGAGTCCATCCTGGTATCCTCGGAGGGCCAGTTCTAAAAAGACAGAGCGCTGTGTAGGCGGAAGGAGTGGCCGTGAGCGTGACTTCCCTCCTGAGAGCCTCAGTCCACTGAGGAGTAGATCTCAGAGCCTGAATGCTCAAGATGACTGTGTGCACCTGTGTGTTCCTGTGTGTGCTCCTTGTGTGCACATGTGTGCTCCTTTGTGTGCACATTTATGCTCCTGTGTGTGCACACCTGTTTGTGTCCCTGTGTGTGCACCTTTGGGCTCCTGTGTGTGCACGTGTGGGCTCCTGTGGGTGCACCTGTATGCACATCCGTGGCACATGTGCATGTATGTACACACCTGCTGGAGGCAGGACGGCCGGGCAGTAAAGAGAGAGATGCTCATTGGGCTGGGCCGTTGCAGTCTGAGGACCTGGGCTCAGACCCCAGCTCCTGTCTCCTAACCCAGGACCCCATCTGTCCTCACGTGTGGCCGCCGAGAGCTGCACTTGGGGTGCAGGAGGGGGGGTGCTTCATCCTCTGGGGGTGTCTCACAGCAGCTGAAATGGAAGTCAGAACTCAAACCACGGGACACCCTGGCTGAGCACGGGGTTCCTGCCTGGTGGGAACCTGCCCCAGGGGGTGCCTGCCCCACGGGCGCCTGCTTAACACGGCATCTGCCCCACAGGGTTCCTGCCCCCCCACCACCTGCCCCTGGGGTTGCTCCATATGATTGTCTGAGGGCCACAGCCAGGTGCAGGGGGCTGCAGGATGCGAGATCCCACTCTGCCCCCACCCTGACATCCTCAGGAGGCTGGCCCCTGCCAGGGGCGTGATCCAGGCCCGCCTCCAGCCACGCTGTCGTGTGCGGGAGCTGGAGGTGTGTGGCCAGCAGAGGGGCCACGTGCCTGTCCGAGGGCCCAGGTCTCCGTGCAAAGCGGGAGTCAAGCCTGGGAGTAAGGGGGGGAGCCAGCGAGGTCCCGAATCTGCCCAGGGCAGCCCTCTTCCATCTCACCCCGAGTTACACCCCAGGGCCCCGGCCCTGCCAGGCCCGCCTTCGGGAGCCTGGGGCCTGAGCAGGCAGACTGCTGACGGGCAGTCACCGCACTGACCGGAGAACGGCCCGTCCCTCCATCGCACCGGCTCCCCCGAGCCCTGCTGCTTCCCCCCCCAACGCACTGGCCCTCCGCCCGGATGGCCGAGGGGAAGGGCCTGGACTATCTTTAAAGCGCCTGTGATCGCCCAGAGCCTGGGCGCGGTGTCCGGCGGTTCCCGGCATCTGACGGCCACGTGACCTCGGTGCTGGCCCTCGGCGCCTCCCTGGGCGAAGGCTAAGTCCGAGAGAACTCAGCAGCATTTTCCCAGACCACAGGAGAGAGAGGGCCAAATTAACGGAGACTAATGTTATTTGGGCTTAGAGATGTAGCCAGCTATTTTTAAAACGTGTTTTTATTGATTTTAGAAAGAGAGGAAGGGAGAAGGAGATAGAGACATCGATGAGAGAAACATCAGCATCGATTGGCTGCCTCCTGCACTCCCCCTGCTGGGAATCAAATCCGCAGCCTGACCCTGTGCCCTGACCGGAGTCCGTCCTGGCCTCCTGGTCTCAGGCCGATGCCCAGCCCCGGGCGGCACCGGCGGGCTGAGCCGGCGGTCCTGTCGTGGTGTCACGTTTCACCGGGGAGAAGGGTCTGGAGGGAGCGGCTTTGCGTCTGGGAGGTTTCGAGCGGCGGCGTGTCACCGCCACGGTCCGGACGGCGCGGGGACGTGTCAGGGGCCCCGCCCCATGGGGCAGCGGGTTCCTGCAGCTCCTGTCCCTTCTCATTCCTTCTCCCGGGCCTGGCAGCGGGCGGCAGGGCCTGCGCCATCGTGTTCGCCGGGAGACGCCGGGAACGGGTCACCCTGGCACGGCGTGACGTCCTACTGGTGCTGAACGGTTCCCGTGGCGGCGGGGGCGGGGGAGGCGCGCCAGGTGCTGCCCCGGGGCAGGAGGGCGCTCAGCCCGTCCGTGGCTCCGCCGGGGTCTGTGTCCTCCCGGACACGTACACGGGCCCAGGCAGGGGGCTCGGGGAACACCTGGGCGTCGCAGACGGGGTGCTGAGGTCCCCGTGTCCGTGCCCACGTCCAGGGGGGGCCTTCTCGAAGGGCTCCCTGCCCCCAGAACGGGAAGAACCGCTGATGGGAGCCTTCGGTTCTTTCTGTTTCGTCCCCAGAGCTTCTGAGCAGGCGCCCGATTTCTCCCACGCCTGCCTCCCCGCTCCCGTGGGGAGCGTGACCTCAACACGGAGCACACCTGGCGACCGAGTACGGGGGTGGGGGGGAGAGGCACAGGGGGCGGAGCCTCTGTGCAGCAGTCACAGGGCGGGTGGCTCTGATTGGCACGTACGGGCGATGCCAGGCGCCACTGGGTCACGTCAGGATCTGTAGGAAAAGACAAGGCCCCGCCGCCCACCGTCTGACTGTCCGCGTGGGGAGGAAGGCCGCCGCCCGCTCTGCGCTGTCTGCCCTGGAGGCCGCACGTGCGGAGTGTCAGCGTCCGGTGCGCGGTGCCGGGCACGTTGCAGCTCGGGGCCTCCTGGCCGCCCCGGGGGAGGCGGGTGGGGAGCCAGCTGCAGGTGGGCAGTGGAGGCCTCGGGCCCAGGTGCTCGGCCAGGGAGGTGGGCCCCCGCCCGCTCCCTACAGAGAAGCCGGCGCCAGAGCGTCCTCCCTCCCGCAGGCCCGGGGGGGGGGGGGGGGGGGGGGGAACCGCGGGCCTGATTTTCCTGGGAAACTTGACAAGGGCACCGGCGATTTCGAAGTGCCGAACGTTTGGTGGCACCTGGCACTGTATGGCATCCATGCCCACCACGACTGCCTGTGAGGGGGGCCAGGTCTGTAACCAGGGAAACGAGCTGCGGGGGTCGGCGTGGCCCCATGGGCGATGGCCTGGAGAGCAGCTGGGGCCAGCACCCATGCAGTGGGCGGGGGGGGGGGGGGGCCTCGGGGAGGAGTGGGGCTCACAAGGCCGCCTCCCGCATTTCTCTGACTTCCCGCCGCCTGGAGGGTCGCCCCAGGCTCGTCCCAGGACCAGGCTCCTGGCATCGGGATCCCCCGGAAAGGGGACTCAGCACCGGGAGGTCAGGGCCCCGCTGTGGGGTCACCACCATCCGGGCAGCTCACACCCGTGTCCCAGTAAAGGGGGGCGTGCCTGGTGGCGGGGGTGAGGGGGGCCGGTATCCCGGAGCCGGCTGCCCCGGGGTCACAGAGGGGGGGGGGGGGGGCGGGTCACACAGAGGCGGGGGGGGGGGGCCGGTATCCTGGAGCCAGCTGCCCCGAGGTCACACAGGCGGGGGGGGGGGTGTTATCCCGGAGCCGGCTGCCCCGGGGTCACAGAGGCGGGGGGGTGGGGGGGCGGGTCACACAGAGGCGGGGGGGGGTACCCCGGAGCTGCCCGGGGTCACACTGGGGGAGGGAAGGGGGGTTATCCCGAAGCTGGCCGCCCGGGGTCACACAGAGGGGGGGGGGGCGAGTCACACAGAGGCGGGGGGGGGGGTATCCTGGAGCCGGCCGCCCGGGGTCACACAGGGGGGGGGGGGAGGTATCCGGAGCTGCCCGGGGTCACACAGAGGCGGGGGGGGGGTACCCCGGAGCTGCCCGGGGTCACACAGAGGCGGGGGGGGGGGGGGGGGGGGCACACAGAGGCGGGGGGGGGCGGTATCCCGGAGCTGCCCCGGGTCACACAGGCAGGGGGGGGGGGGGTGGTATCCCGGAGCTGCCCCGGGGTCACACAGCGGCTGGGGGGGGGGGACAGTACCCGGGAGCCGGCCGCCCGGGGTCACACAGGGGGGGGGGGGGAGGTATCCCGGAGCTGCCCGGGGTCACATAGAGGCGGGGGGGTGGGGGGGCGGGTCACACAGAGGCGGGGGGGGGGGTACCCCGGAGCTGCCCGGGGTCACACAGGGGGTCAGCCAGCAGGACCCGCAGCCCCCCTCCTGCTGCGAGGGCCGCGCCCGGGCCACTGCTCGGAGGACGGAGTGAAGACCCGACGGAGGGGAGGGGTCACTCCGGGCAGCACCACCGGCCGCGTCCATCTGTCTCAGCCGGGAAACGAGTCGCCACGTCCCACTTCCCTCTGCGGTGGCCTCGTGGTCCCCAGTGTGGCCCGTCCCAGCCCCGTGCTGAGCCCCGTGTGCAGGGGGGCGCGCATGGCCCTTTCCCCTGAGGGCCCAGCAGCTGCCTCTCCGAAGGGCCCCTGGTCTCAGAGCCTCCAGCAGCGCTGGCTGGGGGAGGGGGCCGGCTCTTAGAACAGTGGGGGCCAGGGGCGCAGTGGGAAAGGGGGGCTGGGGGGCGCAGTGGGAAAGGGGGGGCTGGGGGGCCGCAGTGGGAAAGGGGGGGCTGGGGGGCGCAGTGGGAAAGGGGGGCTGGGGGCCGCAGTGGGAAAGGGGGGGCTGGGGAGCCTCAGTGGGAAAGGGGGGCGGGGGGCCGCAGTGGGAAAGGGGGGACGGGGGACTGAAGTGGGAAAGGGGGGACGGGGGACCGAAGTGGGAAAGAGGGGACGGGGGGCCGCAGTGGGAAAGGGGGGGCGGGGGGCCGCAGTGGGAAAGGGGGGCTGGGGAGTCACAGTGGGAAAGGGGGGACGGGGAGCCGCAGTGGGAAAGGGGGGATGGGGAGCCGCAGTGGGGAAGGGGGGGCTGGGGGGCCGCAGTGGGAAAGGGGGGGCTGGGGAGTCGCAGTGGGAAAGGGGGGACGGGGAGCCGCAGTGGGAAGGGGGGGCTGGGGAGTCGCAGTGGGAAAGGGGGGACGGGGAGCCACAGTGGGAAAGGGGGGACGGGGAGCCGCAGTGGGGAAGGGGGGGGCTGGGGGGCCGCAGTGGGAAAAGGGGGACCGGGGGGCCGCAGTGGGAAATGTCGGGGCTCAGGGAGCCCCTGGGAATGGGGCGGAGCCTGGCGGGCGGACCGGAGCACTGACATTTGTGTTTCCTTTGCAGGAACCTGGGGAAGTCGGGCCTGCGGGTGTCCTGCCTGGGGCTGGGTGAGTGCGGCGCAGGCCGGAGCCACGGGGAACAGGGCTGTGGGGGGCGAAGGGACCGCCCGCCCGGAGTGGGAGCTGCCCCAGGGCCAGGATGGGTGTGTGCCTGTTACCATGGTGACGGGTGCCTGGGAGAGGGCGGGGGGGAGGGACAGCCTTTCCTTCCCCAGCTGAGAGCTCCGTTCCGGTCACGCTGCCCTCCACCCCGTGGTGCACACACAGTGTGCGCCTCACACACACACACACACACACACACACACACACACAGTGTACGCCTCACACACACACACACACACATACAATGTGTGACACACACACACACACAGTGTGCGCCTCACACACACACACACACACACGTGCGCCTCACACACACACACACGTGCGCCTCACACACACACACACACACAATGTGCGCCTCACACACACACACACACACACACACACAGTATGCGCCTCACACACACACACACACAGTGTGCGCCTCACACACACACACACACACACGCATGCACGCACACACACACACACACAGTGTGCCCCTCACACACACACACACACACTGTGCGCCTCACACACACACAGTGTGCGCCTCACACACACACACACACAGTGTGCGCCTCACACACACACAATGTGCGCCTCACACACACACACACACACACACACACACAGTGTGCGCCTCACACACACACACACACACAGTGTGCGCCTCACACACACACAATGTGCGCCTCACACACACACACACACACACACAGTGTGCGCCTCACACACACACACACACACACACATGCACGCACACACACACCTGGGCCAGCACGAGTGGGGACCTGCCCCTGCCCCGCCCCCTGCAGGCCGTCTCTGGAACAGCAGCCCCTTTAGCTTGAGCCCCAAGGAACGTTTCAAAGCCCCACGCCCGCCGCCTGCTCTGGGCACTGCCTGTCCTCGGTTCGAAGCTCAGGTGTCCCCCCGCCAAGGACGCGCTCACACAGCAGGGTGTCCGCGGCCTGTGGCCGTGCCCTGGGCCCTGCGGCCTGAGGCCCCAGCCCCGGAGGGGAGAGCCGGCCTCCCCGAGGCTCCCTGACTGACCTGTGCGTCTCCTTCCAGGAACATGGGTGACCTTCGGAGGCCAGATCACCGACGAGGTGAGACGCCCCCCCCAGGCCCCAGCGAGGGCGCCCCACCCCGGCCCCCTGCCCCTGCAGGTGGTGATGCCTGCTAGATGCCCAGTGAGGCCGCGGCCCCAGCAGCCGCCACAGATCCCCCCATCTCCTGTGCCCGGCCCCGTGCCCGGCCCCGTGCCCGGCCTGTGCCCGGCCCCGTGCCCAGCGGGGAGGGTGAGCCGCGGCGGTGGCACCACACAGCAGCCAGGTGCCCGGGGGCTCAGGCCTCCCGCAGCCAGGAAAACCAGGGCAGCTTTCCCAGCTGAGCCGGGGCCGCTCCGGGCTGCCCCTGCAGAGCCCGCGGGAGCAAACCTCAGCACAGCCCGCCGGCCCCGGAGCCGCAGGTCCCGGTAGTTTGCTGCAGGATGAGGACGAGCAGTGTCTCCGGGTTCGAGGGCAGTGAGTGGGCCTCCGGGGAGGCAGGACAGTGGCCTCTGCTCGGGGAGAGGCATCTCCCCGTTTGCCCCCCTCGCCGTCGGAAAGGTTGCATTTAAAAGGTAACCGGTGGCTTCCCCTGCAGCCTGGCCAGCGCCGACTGCTGGCTTCATTTTCGTAGCAAAGGCTCTGCTTCCGTCGAAATCCTAATGCAGGTGCTTGGTGTGTGTTTTTTAGATGTATTTTTATTGATTTCAGAGAGGAAGGGAGAGGGAGAGAGAGAGAAACATCATCCACGATGAGAGAGAAGCATGGACCGGCCGCCTCCTGCACGCCCCCTGCTGGGGACCGAGCCCGAAACCCAGGCCTGTGCCCTGACCGGCATGGAACCACAACCTCCTGGTTCATAGGTCGATGCTCATCCCCTGAGCCACGCCGGCCAGGCCTACTGGGTGTGTTTGTGCCTTTTTCTTGTTGCGACAGCAGCAGGTCTGATAATTCTTTGCACTGGTCTGAGCACTTAGACTGGAAGCGGGAGCCCCGAGCCCACATGGGTCACAGGCACAGGTCTCGCCTGCCTCGCCTCTTTCCCTGCGGGTGACCTCACTCCCAGGCACTCACTGTGCTGCCCGCAGCGTCCCCGTGGGAGACAGCCAGTAGCTCTCCCTCCACGTCCCCATCGGGGACAGTGACATGTACAGCGACCCTGGAAGTCATTTCCAGGGGACGGGAGCTGGGAGGGCAGCGGACATGACAGATGACAGATTCAGGCCCCGTGAGGTCCTGGCAGGCGACACGATCGCAGGCAGGAGCCAGCGGCGTTTCCGTGCTCCCTCACCCCCGTCGTGTCCAAAACACCAGCACGTCCTGGGTCCAGGGGGAGAATGCCCAGGTTAGTCTCCCGCTGGCCACCCCCGGGGTCTGAGCTGGCGGGGCAGGGACCACCAGGAAGCTGGGCCCCCCGGGCTGTGGAGGAAGGGGGCACTGCCAGGCGGCCGGGCCCACAGGGCGTTCCTGGTGAGCAGCCACGGACGCCTGCAGCTCCCTGCTCCCTGCCGACCCCGTGTCCGGAGGCAGGCCGTGCCCAGGAAGGCCGAGCAGAGGCCTGTGAGGGTGCCCAGCGTGGGGCCTGGGCCCTGGGCACCCCCGGGCCTCTGGGCACCCCCGGCTGGCAGGACAGAGCCCCCGCTTCTCGTGGGAAAGGGGGGCTGGGGGACCGCAGTGGGAAAGGTACTGAGTTCCCCGCTCTCGTTCCAGATGGCAGAGCAGCTCATGACCTTGGCCTATGACAATGGGATCAACCTCTTCGACACGGCGGAAGTCTACGCGGCGGGCAAGTGCGTGTGTCTCCTTGTGGGAAGGGGTGTGGCCACGCGTCCCGTCCCCCCCAGTCTTTCCTGCCACCCTCTTGTGCCTCCCCCTCCGCCCGCCTCTCTAAGCTCCAAATGGCTCAGGGCAGTGGTTTTCCTGGTGCCTGATGGCAGACGCTGGCATACCGGGCACTTGCTAAACTCCCCGTGTGCTCACCACGGCCGCCTCGGCCCCTCTGTGCCAACGCCGCCATGCCCGGCCAGGGCCGAGATGAAGCTGTCACCGGCTCCCCCGCCCCTCCCCCCCTCGCTCTCCTGACATCTTCACCTCCTAATGGCGCAGCGGGGGGCGGGAGGCAGGGCAGGGCTGGCACAGGGGCGGCCAGCAGGAAGCACTTTCCTCTTGGCAGCGGCTGGCTCCTCAATTATGTAACAGCGAGGCCGCGGCCTGGGCTCGGGGCCGGCGGTAATCAAATCATCCGCTCTCCGCCTCGCCTCGGGTTTCCAGAGCGCTTCGGTGTGAAGTCATCTGCTGGCTCCGGCCCCGCGCCCCCCTCCGGCGGCACCTGCGCCGGGGCCAGAGCAGCGGGGCCTCGACTCAAGCCCTGGCCCAGGGTCCGAGGATCCCACAGCCCTGGGGCCTCCACTGGGACCCCACCCTCCCCAGCCCCGTCAGCAGCTCACTGCCCGCCAACCCCTCCACGCGGGCGGCCGCTGCCCATCAGTGAGCCGCTGTCCAGACCGAGGGCCAGAGGTGGGGAGGCCCGTGCGGAGGCCGTTCCACGGCTCACCTGCCCTGCACCAGGCCCGTGGGCAGCTCTGTGCCGCCTCCTGCAGATGGCCCGGCCCTGTGCACAGCTTCAGGCAGCCACGCTGCTCCACCTCCACGCCCCAGCGAAGGGACGCCAGGCGGGGCAGCTCGGGACTCGCACCCGGGTCCTGGCAGCCGGGGGCCTCCAGGAGCAGCTTCCGGGGGCCGTCGCTGTGCCCACTGCCCTGTCCTGCCCTCCACGCCCCCGGCCTCTGAACCTGCCCACTCACCCCCATCAGGGCCTCGTTTCCCCAGCCACCCACACGGGGGAGCGGGCGCTGCGCCAAGGGACAGGCACGGAGAAGCTGCCCGGGCCGGGCTGCCAGGCGCCCCAGCGGGCGGGGCCCGGCGCTGTCCCTCTCGCTAACCAGGTGCCATTCGCGTAGCCAGGTGCCCCCCTCTCCTGCCGGTGCTGCTTTGGGCACTTCCGGAGCTGCAGGGCTGCTGTGCCCGGCAGGACGGCACCAGCCTCGCCAAGTCCCCGGCCACGGGCAGCAGGCCTTGGCTAACTCTGTCTCAGTGCCTGTGAGCCAGGCCCACGGCTGCCTTCCTCTCTCCGCTCTCTCTGACCTTTGGCCCGGGAGGGCCCGGGACTGCGGAGGAGGCTGCTGAGTGCCTCTGAGCATCCTGCCCGCGAGGGGAGAGCTTTCAGATGCTGCCAGGCGGCCTGCCAGCGAGAGCATTCCCCGGAGAGCGTGACTCAGCGTTTCCATGGCGGGGAGCCGCGCTCGGGTCAGCTCGGGCCTCTCTCACCCAGGACACTCTGCCAGCAAAACGTCCTCAAAAGTCAGAAACTAAAGGGCGAGTCCATCACTGCCGCGCCACGCGGGCAGAGCAGTGCCCATGAGGCCGGGGCCGAGTTTGGTGCGGGGCCCCGAGGGGCGCCAGACAGAGCGGACAGGGGCCAGCAGGGCGTCTGTCTCATCCAAACACAGGAGATCAGAGGAGCACGCACACGTGCACACACACATATACACACATGCACACGCGTGCACACGCCCACACATGCACGCCTGCTGGAGCTCTGCCAGAACCCCACCCTGGCCCTGAGTCCCTGTCGGTTGTCTCTGAAAACAAGAGGAATAATTTAACTTTTAAAAACATACCTGTCTGGCCCCGGCCACTATGTCTCAATGGGTAGAGCATCACCCACACCCCGAAGGGTCTTGGGTTCGATTCCCAGTCCAGGGCACTTTCCTGGGTCACAGGTCCATCCCGGGCCAGGGTGGGACCTGTGTAGAAGGCAACTAGTGAAAGTTTCTCTCTCTTCCTCTCTCCCCTTTCCCTCCTTCCTCCCTTCCACTCCAAAAATCAACGGGAAAAACGTCCTCGAGTGAGGACTAACACACACACAGAAAACCCTTCCAAACTGGGCTGTGTCACGTGGCAGGTGTTTTCCCGGTGAACTGCCCGTGGCCGGGGGCCGGGGGCCGCTGGCCTTCCCTACGGGACTCCAGCTCCTTCCGGCGAGGGCCACGTGCCACGCCCTTCGTGGGCGCAGCAGCCACGCCGGACCCTGGATGCGCTGCCAGAGCCACGGGGGCCCTCGCCCTCCTCCTCGGGGACCCGCAGTGGCTGTCGCGGTGGGCGGGTGCCGTGGCTGTAACCACATCTCCGTGTCTCCTTCTTCCAGGGCTGAGGTGGTCCTCGGGAACATCATCAAGAAGAAGGGATGGAGGTAGTGCCTGCTCTCTCTGTGGTCCGTGTCCGGGGGCGGGAGGGGAGAGGGGAGAGGAGGGGCTCTGGGCTGGGATTGGGTGGCGAGCGTGGCTCGGTCTCCTGCCCCGTCCTGTTGCCAGGACAGAGCCCGGTGGTGTCAGACCTCCCGTCCCAGCATCGCTCTCGGGGAAGGGGAGGGTGTCCCGGGACGAGGCAGCCCCGAGCTTTCTCCAGGGAGCGGGGTTCACACGGGGGTGGCCACCCCCAAGGAGCCAGGGGCTGTGGCGAGGTGGGGGCCAAATTCCGTTCTCCCAGGTCGGCGTCTCTGCTGGGGAGGGAGCCAGTTCCCCCCCCCTCCCCCGCACACCCCATCTGCCCCTCTCCTGACCCTCAGTGCAGAGGGCCAGGGTCCCGGGGACAAGGTTGACCGGTGAGGCCAGGCAGCGCTGGCCGTGGGGACCTCCCAAGGCCCTGGGTGCCCTGGGGGTGGCCTGAGAGGAGAGGGTGCGGCCGCCCGCCTCCTGGCCGGGCTGACCCAGGCTCAGACACCACCCAGCCCAGGCCCGGCCTTCACACCCCACCCACTCACCCAGGAAGTGGTGGCTCTAAGACCGCCTTCACCTCCGGACCCGCAACCCCCCACCCCCCGCCCCAGGCTGGGCCCCGGGAGCACCGGAGCCCCACCCCCACCCCCGCAGCCCGTCCCCATCGGGGTAGACACGGCCGGTGGCCGAGCGGCTGGCTCCCAGGAGCCCCAGACGCTGCCGACGCCCCACCAAACCGTGTCTTTGTGACTCTAACTGGCCCCAAAGCCCTGCCGGTCCCTAAGGAACGAGATGGCTCCTGGTAGCCAGTCCCCAATTACGGCTCGGTGGAGACGGGAGAGCCAGGGTCACCGCCCCACCCGTGCCCGCCCCAGGGCCTCGGGGCCACTCAGCCCCACCCCTCCGGGACAGGCTCAGGGAGACTTAAAGCGGGAAAGCACCTGCCTTCCCACGCCCCACCCGGGCCCTCCACCCCAGCCAGCATCCCGAGCCCCCGAGCCCAGCCTCCCTCCCTCCCTCAGGGCCCCGCCAGCGTCCCACGGCCCTCCCGCTGCAATGTCCACGGATGCGTGGCCCGTGTCCTGCCGCCCCAGGCTCCTGCTGCGCTTGGCCCCTGAGCCTTCCGTGGCCGGGCCCGTGGGTCCAGTCGGGGAGTTCACCCACGTGGCGAGTTCGTTACACCCACCCCTCCCTCCACCTGCTTCCTACCCCTGAGCTGTGCTCCCCCTCATTCTCCCGAGACCCCTCTCCCCAGCGTGCCCCTCCTCTGGCCGTCTCCCTGGGCCCCATGCCCAGCCCCTGGGCCCAGGCCGGGGAGATCACCCACGTGGCGAGTTAGTTACACCCACACGTCGTCTCCTGACCCCACATGGAGCCCAGGGTCCAGGCTCGACACAGCGAGGACAATGAGTGACGGGCACCCCCTTCCACCCAGTGCTCCCCGATGCGAAGGGTGGGGGACCCCCGAGGGCCCACCTGCAGTAACGCCCTCCTCTGCTCTGTCCGCAGACGGTCCAGCCTGGTCATCACCACCAAGATCTTCTGGGGAGGAAAGTAGGTGTAGGGGCCGCAGCCCTGAGCCCAGCCCGCCCCTGACCGAGGCGGCTCCGGGCGGGGGGGGGGGGGGGGGGGGGCGGGGGCGGGGGCCGGGCCTTGTCCTCAGCCCCCTGGTGCCGCCGTGGGTGGGCTGGCCTTGGTGCCTCCGCCCCAGCGGGCACCCGTCCCTACGGAGGGAGGTCAAGTTCCCAAAAAGCAGCTCCGGCCTAGTCTGTCTGTATTCAGGCCTTGTCCCCCTTTTCTGTTTGCGTCTGTGGGTTCGTCCTTTCCGGCCGCTCACAAAGGCGGTGCCCTAAACACTGGGAAACACAGATAACTGGTGAACTGTCTGAACCACCCTCCCTCCCTGGGCCAAAACCCCTCCCCGCTTCACCCCCTGCCGCCTCCCTCCCGCCGGGAGCACCCCGTTCTCTCTGCGGCCGGACCGAGCCAGCTTCCTGGGAATTACAACTGTGGCTCGTGCTTTAAAATGCGAGAGGAAGGGAGAGGGAGAGAGAAACATCCGTGACGAGAGAGTGTCATTGATCAGCTGCCTCCTGCACGCTGCCCGCGGGAGATTGAGCCCGCAGCCCGGACCTGTGTCCTGACCGGGATATCGTTCATTCTTAACCTTTAAAAAAAAATCCATGCCAAGCAGAAAAGAAAATTGAAAAACAGGAACCACCCCCCACAGCCACCCCCTCCCCAGGATGGCCAGGAGCAGCCTGGGCCTCACCCTCCCTGGCCCCCCCCCCCCCCCGCCACACCTGCGGGAGCGCCCGGGGGCCTCCTGGTTTCCACCCCGAAGGCCGCATCCGCCCTGCCTTTCTCCCTGACCTCTGCACCATCACCGCCTTCCCCACCGCCTGCCCTCACGAGGCCTGTCTTTCAGGGCGGAGACCGAGCGGGGCCTCTCCCGGAAGCACATCATCGAAGGTGAGGGCCCGAGCCCAGGCCTCCCCGGGTGCACAACTCCCCTCCCGACGAGCACAGGCCCAGGCCTGGGGACCCTGGAGCTCTGCCCCCCCACCCCATCCGGGTCCCGAGGGCGGGCGGGGGTGTGGGCAAGGACAGACAGCCGGGTTTCCGTTCAGGGCTGATCAGAGTGAGCAATGTCACTTCCCAGCCTCTGGTGGGGCTCAGAGCCACCGCCGTGGGGCCAGGAACGGGGAGCACCATGCGAGGGTGGACGTCAGAGGGGCCCGGCACCCGGAGCACAGGAGGGCAGCTGGCGCGGCCATCTGTGTATTCCCAGTGTCTCCCTGCCTTTCCTGTCCACGTTCACGTCCATAACAGCCAGAGGACGGGGGGCCTCGCCTCCCTGCCCCCAGCCCCGCACCCCCTCCCGCTCTGCTCTGACCCCTGCCGGGTGCGGGGTCACGGCTGGTGCGTTTCAGACGCCCTCGGCCTTGGCTGCGGGGACGCCACGTGACCTGCCCCGCCCTCGGTGTCACCCCACGGGTCACGGGAGACCCAGACGGTCCCCCCACATCCCAGCACAGGCATTGCCTCTCCCCTGGCCTCCGCCTCCCCCAACCGCCCGCCAGGCAGCCGGTGACCACCCTCCGCCTCCCCCAACCGCCCGCCTGGCAGCCGGTGACCACCCTCCGCCTCCCCCAACCGCCCGCCTGGGCAGCCGGTGACCACCTCCGCCTCCCCCAACCGCCCGCCTGGGCAGCCGGTGACCACCCTCCGCCTCCCCCAACCGCCCGCCTGGCAGCCGGTGACCACCCTCCGCCTCCCCCAACCGCCCGCCTGGCAGCCGGTGACCACCCTCCGCCTCCCCCAACCGCCCGCCTGGCAGCCGGTGACCACCCTCCGCCTCCCCCAACCGCCCGCCTGGGCAGCCGGTGACCACCCTCCGCCTCCCCCAACCACCTGCCTGGCAGCCGGTGACCACCCTCCGCCTCCCCCAACCGCCCGCCTGGCAGCCGGTGACCACCCTCCGCCTCCCCCAACCGCCCGCCTGGCAGCCGGTGACCACCCCCCGCCTCCCCCAGGTCTGAAGGCCTCCCTGGAGCGGCTGCAGCTTGAGTACGTGGACGTGGTGTTTGCCAACCGCCCGGACCCCAACACGCCCATGGAAGGTGGGTTCCCCGCCAGGGCCTGAGGCCTCGGCACGGCCCCGCGGCCGCCCGGGCCGGCGGGAGGGGCGGCCAGGCCTCCGGGTGGAGAGAGCGGGCAGGGAGGCCTGAGCCCCGCCCTGTGGGGACCCCTGGCACCCCGCTCCACCCCGGTCCCCGCCCTGGGCTCGGGCTGCCGCATGCTCTCTCCTCACGGCGGCCAAGCGTTTGCAGCTAAATGGGGTCCATGGCTCGCTGCGCCCGCTCCTTCTCCATCGCCGTCCCGCGCCTCCGCTCCCTCGCTCGGTCCCTGAGAGGAGACGAGACGCCAGGGGTTCGCAAAGCCCTTTTGGCCTCAGTTACCCTCTTGCCTCCGCACCCCCCTCCCGGCCCCCAGCCGCCCGCTCCGGACCTTCCCCACGCGCTTTCCTGCTTCGGGAACTGGGGCACTAGGTCGTGTGCGGTTGTTTTCCCTTCATTTGTGGAGACATACATGTATATATACACACCGTGCCCTCACGCGTGTGTGTGTGCGTGTGTGTGTGTGCGTGTGTGTGTGCGTGTGTGCATGTGTATGTGTGTGAGTGTGTTGTGCATGTGTGTGTGTGCGTGTGTGTGTGTGCGTGTGTATATGTGTGTGTGCATGTGTATGTGTGAGTGTGTTGTGCGTGTGTGTGCGTGTGTGTGTGTGTGCGCGTGTGTGTGTATGTGTGCTCGCGTGTGTGCGTGTGCATGTGTGTGTGCGTGTGTGTGCGTGTGTATATGTGTGTGCGTGTGTGTGTGTGTGTGTGCGTGTGTGTGTGTGTATATGTGTGTGTGCGTGTGTGTGTGCATGTGTATGTGTGTGAGTGTGTTGTGCGTGTGTGCGTGTGTGCGTGTGTGTGTGTGTGTGCGCGTGTGTGTGTGTGCGCGTGGGCTTTCTAATGCGCGCCCCGCAGAAGTGATCTGTGCCTGCCTGCCGTGCCCTCCGTCACCCGCACCGCCCGTGTTCGCACAGCTGCCAACTCTGTTCTCTCTACATCTCTTTCTGCCGCCAGGGGACCCACTTAGCTCCTCCAGGTCCAGGGCATTCGTCATAGAAGGTACCCGGCGCCCGCCGGCCCGGCCCTGGCCGCACCGCATTTTATGAGGCAGTGGCTTCACTCACCGCCTCTCCCCGAGGACACACTTCCCCATAAAATGCACCAGGCAGACAGGCCGGCACCCTGCACACACCTGCACGGGCCACTGTCCTTCATCCTGCGCCCTGTGCATGCCCGTCCCCGCCTGGCTGTGTGAGGTCCCAGGGCGGCCGCGGGCCCTCCGATTGGAGGATGCTGCCCTCAGGGCCTAAGACTTTGATGCAGGATGGGCCGGGGCGGGGCTGAGGGAGGCCAGGTTCCCACCAGAGCTAACACATGGGGGATCCCCGAGAATGTGGCCCCCACGAGTCTTACTTTCTCCAGAATTCACGTTTGCTAAGCCCCTGCCCCAACCAGAAGCCACGGACCAAGGCGTGCTGCCCCACAGCACGCCGGCTCCCTGTAAGCGTGCCTGCCGGCGGGCATGGCGCCCGTGTCCCTGGGAGGGCTGGCCACCTGCCGCTCACCCCTGCTGTGTGGCCTGACCCCCCGCTGGAAGGAAGCATTGTCCGCCTGGAAGGACCCCCTCCTGAGCCGGGAAACCCGAGACCCGGGCCACTGCTGGCCCCGTGTAGCCCCTGCCCGCCCCACGCTCAGGGCCCAGGACCCCGCCCCACGCAGGCCTCGGTCTCTCTGGGGACCGAGCCGAGATCCACGGTGGCAGGGCTCCTGCCTGCCAACTGGCACTGCCACCTGCCAACTGGCACTGCCCATGTATTATTTGTGACCGGGCAGGAGATGCCAGGGGTCTTGGCAGCAGCAGCAAGGATTTATTGGGCGGCATTAAATATTGAGGTGGAGGGCAGGCCCCTCGTTGTCCCTGAGTCTGGGCCACTGGCGCCCCCCGTGGGCAGAGGGCAGAGCCTGTGGCCTGTCTGAGGGCACCGTGGTCCCGAGGTGGCTCCATGCCCTCCGGCCACTCAGCAGCCTCGGCCCAGGGGCCGCCACAGGCTCCCAGGCTGCCGCGGGGCCGTGACCACAGGCTGGCGGCCCGCCCTCTGCATGGCAAGCCCTGCACCGCGGCCCTCCTGAGGAGGGGGCGGCCGGAGCCAGGCCGGGAGCGGCCGGCTCTCCCCTCCGCATGCGGCCTGCACCTTGGCTGAGACACGGGCGCTCGCGCTGCATGGCTGCAGGCCCCCGAGTGTTTCTAAAGGCCCGACGGGCGCCCGGGGCTCGGAGGTGGGACCCTCATGCCCTCCACCCGACACCGCTGTCCTTCACCACGACCGGTGTCCGCCAAGGGCGGCCCCTGGGGGCCCGGGCTCCCTGCCAGCCCGCTCCCCTCCCTGGGATGGGGGCAGGGGGGACGGGGCGTGGCCTGCAGGGGTGGAAGCCCAGGCATGAGTTTCGAGGGGTCTCCGCGCCCACGGAAACCGCCCCCCGGGAGCCCAGCCACCGCTGCCGTCTACGAAACCGAGGCCCTGGCCAGGCTGCGTCCTGCTTTGTTTTAGAAACACTTGTTGCCAGCTCCCCGCCCTCACATTCGGACTTGCAAGCACTGTATGGGGCCTGGGAGACATCTGGGGGAGCACCCCCCCCCCAACGCTGAGACATTGGAACTGGAAAAGGGGAGGCCAAGTTCTGTTTCAAAAACTACATCCCCACGCGCTGAAACCGCCCGGGAGGGAAAGCCGACCGGTTCGCTTCCCAGAGCCCCTGCGAGCCTCGGGGGAGCTCAGGGGGTCCCCTGTTTAAAAGGAAGGCGGTCTCCGCCGCTCAGGTCCCAGGACACGAGGACACGGGGAGTCTCGCTGCCCGGTCTGCAGTGGAGACTGGGGAGTCCATTGCAGCCTCGGGCCCCCCCAGGAGGGTCACCCAGACCCTCCTTCGCTAGGAGAAGCCACACTGCCCGGTGCTGGGACACACTCCGGCCCAGGGCAGCACGAAACGCGGGGCCTGGCCCAGAGCAGCCGCCCAGCCACAGGCGAACACTGCGCCTGCCTCCGTTGCCTCCTGACCCTAACCCCTACCTGTCTGCCGGGGGGTCGGGCCCTGCTTCCTCCTGGGACTAGAGAACTCTCTAGAATGGCCTCACATCCTTCATCTCCCCACAGCCCTTCTAACCTGACAGGAACACCTGGTCCCCCCACAACCCCTGTCGCAAAGCTCCCAGGAGGCCTGTGCTACTGGGGAAGTCATTTTCAAGACCAATTGCTTGGCCCTGGCCAGTGTGGCTCAGTGGATAGAGCGTCGACCTATGGACAGAAGGGTCCCAGGTTCGATTCCGGTCAAGGGCACGTACCTCGGTTGCAGGCTCCTCCCCCACCTGGGCCCCCCTGATCAGGGCACGTACAGGAGGCGACCCATCGATGTGTTTCTGTCTTTCCCTCTCTCTCCCACTCTCTCTAAAAACCGATGGGGAAATGTCCTTGGGTGAGGATTTAAAAAAAAAAAAGGAAAAAAAAGACCAGCTGCCTGGAGGAGGTCCGCTCTGTCTGCCGCCCAGACCCCCGCCCCGGCCCCGGGAGCTGGGAGTACAGTGCTTGCAAGACACCATCGCAGCGCCCTGACCCTGCTCCGGCCCCGTGTTTGCAGAATGCGCCCCGCTGGGCCCGGCCACCCCCAACCTGCGGCTCCCCTCTCTCTGCAGAGACCGTGCGTGCCATGACCCACGTCATCACCCAGGGCATGGCCATGTACTGGGGCACATCGCGCTGGAGCTCCATGGAGATCATGGTAGGCGGCCGGGGCGCGGGCGCGGCCTGGGGAGGGCCCGCGGGGCCCGGGCTGTGGTCCGGGAGGCACACGGCTGCAGGCCCAGGGGTCCCGGTCTCGGCACGGGCGACACTGGCCTGGGTGAAGGTGGGGATACCCTCTCTGAGCCTCCCGCCCCTGGGGCCCAGGACCCCGGGGCGGCCTGAGAGCAGGTGCCAAGCTCCGGAGACAGCCCCTTGGGCCCGGGCACCAAGCTCTCGGGTCTGCCAGGCGCCGGTAGGTTTGGGGCTCTGTGCCCTGGCTGGGGGGGGGGGGGGGGGGGGATCATCCTGTGTACCAAGGAGGTGGTGGGTTCGACCCCAGTCAGAGCAGCTGCAGGAGGCAGCCAATCCTCTCTCTCCCTCTCCCCCGCCCCGTCTCCTCCTCATCTGCTAAAATCAATAAAAAATAAAAAAATAAAAACCTTTTTTTATTTTTTTTTTAAATGAAGAGATGAAGGGCTTCATGTGAACTAGCTCCCATTTAACCCTCACAGCCTGTGAGGTCAGTGCTGCCACCTCCTGCTTGTCAGAGGCGCACCCTGAGGCGCAGAGAGGTTAAGTAACATGCCCAAGGTCACACAGCTCTGCTCAGAGTGCAGGCTGCCTCAGAATCCGGGTGGCTGATAGGGCCCCGCCATCCACCTCATACCCCACGCTGCCCCCCTCCCGCCCTCAGGAAAGCATCCTGCAGTGGCATTTCCCTCCACGGGGGAGGGGGGAGGCCTGGGGGCTGGAGGCCAGGGCGCTGTCTTCCCTCTCGGGCTGGCCCACAGCCCTGGCCTCTAGGTCCCTCCTGGCCTCAGTCCTTCCCTTCCCTTCCCTTCCCTTCCCTTCCCTTCCCTTCCCTTCCCTTCCCTTCCCGGAGCTCCCACACCGGACGTCTCGCCTCATCAGAGAAAGGAGCGGGGTGTTCGTCTGCAGTTAGACGCAGCCCTGGCGGGCCCCCAGCCCCACCAGCTGCGCCTTCTCCCCATTTCACAGACAGGAAGACTGAGTCTCCCACAGGGAGGGAAAGGGCCTCCCAGGCTGGCACGCAGGGCTTCCCTGGGGTCTGTCTAAGATCAATTTTTAAATTGATCTCAGAACGTAAATGAGGGGGGGAGAGAGAGAAAGGGGGCGGGGATTGGCTGCCTCCTTCAGCTCTCCCACTGGGGCTGAACCCGCCACCTCAGTGGACACAGGACGATGCTCACCAGCCTGGTCTGCGGGGCTGAGGCTCGAGTCCCAGGAGTGGGCGGAGGCGGCCGCCTCCCTCCCGGCCCAGCACATTCTGGCTGCCGTCCCCGGGGCCAGGGCCTGCAGTGACAGCCACTGAGTGTGCCCCTGAGCTGGGCGCTGTCCGAGGGCTGCAAACACCGCTGCTCGTTCGGCCCCGAGGCAGATGGGGAAGCTGAGCCCCTCGCCCACGCCACCTGGCCAGGAGAGCCGGGAGGGCCAGTCCCTGTCCCTTCAGCCATCCCCTCCCCCCAGGGCTGGGCCTAGCAGGTGCCCCGGCGGGGGGGGGGGGGTGGGCGGACAGCCTTCCCGGGATGCCCGGTGTCCTCCCCAACGCCCTCTGCTCCGCAGGAAGCCTACTCCGTGGCCCGGCAGTTCAACCTGATCCCGCCCATCTGCGAGCAGGCGGAGTACCACATGTTCCAGCGCGAGAAGGTGGAGGTGCAGCTGCCCGAGCTCTTCCACAAGATCGGTGGGCGCCGCCCCCTCTACCCCACAGCCCCGCACAGCCCTCCCCCCGTGCCACCCACCCCCTGCCCGCCCCGCACAGCCCTCCCCCCACACACAGCCCTCTCCCCACACACAGCCCTCTCCCCTGCCCCATCCCCTGCCCGCCCTGCACAGCCCTCCCCCCGTGCCACCCACCCCCTGCCCACCCCCCACAGCCCCGCACAGCCCTCTCCCCCACACACAGCCCTCTCCCCTGCCCACCCCCCACAGCCCCACACAGCCCTCCCCCGTGCCACCCACCCCCTGCCCGACCCCCGCAGCCCCCCACAGCCCTCTCCCCGCCCCTGCCCGCCCCCACAGCCCCCCACAGCCCTCTCCCCGCCCCCTGCCCGCCCCCCACAGCCCCCCACAGCCCTCTCCCCCACACATAGCCCTCTCCCCTGCCCCCCATCCCCTGCCCGCCCCGCACAGCCCCCCACAGCCTTCTCCCCGCCCCCTGCCCGCCCCCCACAGCCCTCTCCCCCACACACAGCCCTCTCCCCTGCCTCCCATCCCCTGCCTGCCCCCCACAGCCTCGCACAGCCCTCCCCCCACACACAGCCCTCTCCCCTGCCCCATCCCCTGCCCGCCCCACACAGCCCACCACAGCCCTCTCCCCACCCCCTGCCCGCCCCACACAGCCCTCTCCCCAGTCCCTGCCCACCCCGCCAGCCTTCTCCCCGCCCCCCACAGCCCTCTCCCCCACACATAACCCTCTCCCCTGCCCCGCCCCCCACAGCCCCGCATAGCCCTCTCCCCGCCCCCCACAGCCCTCTCCCCCCCCCCTGCCCGCCCCCCACAGCCCTCTCCCCGCCCACAGCCCTCTCCCCCCCTGCCCGCCCCCCACAGCCCTCTCCCCGCCCACAGCCCTCTCCCCCCCTGCCCGCCCCCCACAGCCCTCTCCCCTCCCACAGCCCTCTCCCCCGTCTCCCCGCCCCCTGCCCCACCCGCACAGCCCTCTCCCCAGTCCCCTCCCCTGTCCCGCCCCCACAGCCTTCTCCCCGCCCCCCACAGCCCTCTGCCCGTCCCCGCCCCACCTGGGGCCCAGGGCCTGACCTCGCCGGGCTCTCCCCTGCAGGAGTGGGTGCCATGACCTGGTCCCCCCTGGCCTGCGGCATCGTCTCCGGGAAGTACGACAGCGGCATCCCGCCCTACTCCAGGGCCTCCCTGAAGGTCAGGAGGGGCGGGAGGGGGGGCAGGCAGGGAGGGCCGGGCAGGGAGGGAGCAGGGGGGGCCGGGCATGGGGGAGCTGGGGGGGGGCCGGGCAGGGAGAGCAGGGGGGGCCGGGCAGGGGGGAGCAGGGGAGGCTGTGCAGGGAGGGCTGGGGCAGGAAGGGGGCAGGGAGGGGCGGTGGGGGGGGCTGGTGGGGGGGGGCGGGCAGGGGCTGGGCAGGGAAGGGGCCAGGCAGGGAGGGGGCAGAGGGGGGGGGGGGCAGGGAGGGGGCAGGGGGGGCCGGGCAGGGAGGGGGCCAGGCAGGGAGGGCCGAGCAGGGAGGGAGCAGGGGGGGCCGGGCAGGGAGGGCCGGGCAGGCAGGGGCCAGAGGGGGCCGGGCAGGGAGGGGCAGGCCGGGGGTGGGCCTGTGTAGAGGTGAGGCCCCGGCCGACAGCCTGGGTGCTGGCAGCCTTCCCGGGCCCCTGCCTGCAGGTGGCCAGGGCTGCGGGAACTCGGGCCGGGCTGGCCTGAGCCGGGGCTGGAAGGGCTGCCCAGCCCACGGGTGTGCCCAGCGAAGAAGTGCCATCACTCCCCCCACCCCTAGCACCTCCTTGGTTCCACATTCACAGCCTGGGCTGGGCCCGCACGTGCCTTTGGGATGCCCCCCATGCACACGCATGCACACGCATGCACACGCACACAGGCACCTGATCTGGGCTAAGCTCAGAGCCCGGGCTGCACAGCTTCTCCAGTTGTCACTCAGAGGTGACTGACCCCCCAGGACGAGTCCCAGACGCACACCCCAGAGAGGGGGCTCCAGGAGGGGGTGCAGAGTGCAGAGGAAGGCTGCCCAGGCCGGGCAGGCCCAGCCCCAGAGCCCCAAGCCCCAGGTTCAAGGGCAGATGGCCTGCCCTCCTCACCCCTCCCCAGCCCACTGCAAGGCCAGGGGCCCCTGCCAGGCACTGTGCCCCTGGGAGCGAGGCAGGGAGAAGGGAGGTCAGTGGGCCCCCCAGTTCCCCTCAGCTCCCCCAGACAGCCGGCTTCAGAGAGCAGTGGTCCCACACTTCCAACGGCCAGGAGGGGGCGCTGCCCTGGCTCTGGTCCCCAGCCACCGGCACACAGAGGCCGGTGACCTGCCCTCACCTGGGGGCTGTGCCTTTCCTCCCTCCCCCTCCCCCTCCAGGGCTACCAGTGGCTGAAGGACAAGATCCTGAGTGAGGAGGGCCGGCGCCAGCAGGCCAAGCTGAAGGAGCTGCAGGCCATCGCCGAGCGCCTGGGCTGCACCCTCCCACAGCTGGCCATAGGTAACGGCGGGGGCATGACCAGAGGTAACAGCTGGAGGGAGGGGTGACCATCGGTAACAGCTGGGGGGCGTGGCCATAGGTAACAGCTGGAGGGAGGGGTGACCATAGGTAACAGCTGGGGGAGGCGTGGCCACAGGTAACAGCTGGAGGGAGGGGTGACCATAGGTAACAGCTGGGGGAGGCGTGGCCATAGGTAACAGCTGGAGGGAGGGGTGACCATAGGTAACAGCTAGAGGGAGGGGTGACCATAAGTAACAGCTGGGGGAGGCGTGGCCACAGGTAGCAGCTGGGGGAGGCGTGGCCTCAGGTAACGGCTGGGGGTGTGGTCATAGGTAACAGCTGGGGGTATGGCCATAGGTAACAGCTAGGGGAGGCATGGCCACAGGTAACAGCTGGGGGGCGTGGCCACAGGTAACAGCTGGGGGAGGCATGGCCTCAGGTAACAGCTGGGGGAGGCATGGCCACAGGTAACAGCTGGGGGCGTGGCCATAGGTAACAGCTGGGAGCTGGGCTGGGGGAGGCATGGCCATGGTAACAGCTGGAGGCAGGCGTGGCCACAGGTAATAGGCTGGGGCTGGGGGCAGAGTTGGGAGGTGTCAGGAGTCCCTTATGCCCCGGCCAGCCCCTTTATGAGCCAGCCACCGGTAATGGGGTCCCACATTCGCGGGGAGAAGGTGGGGTCCCTGAGCACTTGGGCCACCTCTCCACACGGGCGGTCTGTGCCAGGTCTCACCCCCGCGCACTCCCCTCTCCCTGGCACCCCTGAGCACTGGCCTTGCCAGGCCCCTCCAAGCCGCAGACTCGGGCTGGGTCCTGTGCGGAGAGGCAGGACAAGAAGGCGCCTGCCCCGGGGGTGCCTCCTGGGTCACGCACCCCCTCAGCTCCCCTCTGTCTCTCCCCCCAGCCTGGTGTCTGAGGAACGAGGGCGTGAGCTCTGTGCTCCTGGGCGCGTCCAGCGCGGAGCAGCTGATGGAGAACATCGGGGCCATACAGGTGAGCGGGTCCCCCACGTCCGGGAGCCGGCGGGCACTGGCCAAGCACCTGCTCCGTGCCAGGCCTGCACGTGGCACAGCCCAACCGCTCTCGTCCTGCTCCAGGTCCTCCCCAAGCTGTCGTCCTCCATCGTCCATGAGATCGACAGCATCTTGGGCAACAAGCCCTACAGCAAGAAGGACTACCGGTCCTAGGCCCCGGCCGCCGGACTCCCCCCCCCTGTTCGCTCGCCATCCCCGCTTCCGCTCTTTGAAGCCAAGTCCTGAACGTGGTTCGCATCACAAAGAAAGCCCTGTGAGACGTCCTGGGGAAACCCCGCAGAAGCCGTGCCACACCCGCCCACTGCTCCGCGGCACCCACGTCCTGCCCGGCGCCCCGATCCTGAGGAGGCCGGTCAGCTGTCCCCCAAGGCTGCACCCCACCCCCCCCCCAGCCTTCCCGGAGCCTCAGGAGCCCAGGCCGGGCTGGACCAGGGGCGGGGCGGCAGGCAGGGCCGGCTCCTCTCTGCCGAGAATGCCGCTGGCGGTGGGACCCCAGGCCTGGTCCTCCTGCCCCACCCCCACCCCCCAGGGCCCTGGGTGCTGGGCTGGGCCTCCCCAGGGTCTCCTTCTGACCCAGGGCTCGACCTCAGCTACTACCCCACCACCCGCCCCAGGGGCCTCCTGTGCTGACCCTGACCCCCACCTCCTCCCTGGCTGGGAGGGGCCGGAACCCAGGGGGCTGGCTCTGCAGTTTGGGCCCATAGGAAGTCTGGGGGTCTGATTTCAAGCTCATTGCCCTGAGCAGGGCCCCATCTGCCCTCCCTGCCAGGCACCCGGTCACTGCCCTCTGTCCTGGCCCGTAAGGCCCCCGAGGCTGAGCGTGCTGAGCTGGCTGTGGCTGCTGACCCCGGAGAGGGAGGACGCCCTGCTCTCCTGGGGGACAGCTCGGCGTCCGCAGGGGACAGGCTTGAGCCCTCCCCGGGGGCCCCGGGGCCTTCTGGGCCAGGACCGGGTCTTTGTACCCCGAGCAGCAGCCCCCACAGTGAGGAGCGGCCCCGGGGGCTCTCCCTGGAGAGGTGCCCACGGGGCCTCCGGTCAGGCGGGGTGAGGTGTCCGTCTTGGGGCGCTAAATGTCTCTGTGCTCAGAGCTTGCGACTTGTGCCGATGGGCAGCAGTGCCACCCCTGGGACCCCACACGCTGTGACAAGTGGGGGTGTCACTGCACACCACTCCTGGCCTGCAGCGGGTTGGGGCAGGGACGGAGAGGGCACACAGGCTGTCAGCCCCTTGCAGCCCAGCCTGGGGCCAGAGGGGACGGGGGGATCGAGGGGGGTAAAGAGGGGGCCTGCAGCCAGGACCCCAGCCCCACGGCCTGGGAAGTGCCCCGGCTTTTGCCCGCTATGTGGGGGGCAGGAGCCAGGCACTATGGATGTGCCAGCCGCTCTGCAGAGGCCCTGTGTGCCAGCCCCCGAGGCACCCCACACCCTCCCCCTCGCCAGGAGGCGGGCACAGCGGTTTTGCATGCAGAGCGGGCCCCCAGGCTTCCTCCTGCCCCTTGCCCCCGCCTCCCGGCTCCTTCCCCCCCCCCCCCCCCCCCCGCCATCCAAAGAGCCGCGTCCTGGCTGGGCTGAGGCTGGGCTGAGGCTGAGAAAGGGCTTTGTGAAAAGCTGCAGAGGCGAGGGGGCGGGACAGCTGTCCACTCCTGACCTCCGTGCTGAGCCCGGAGTCTAGAACCTTCCCTCCTCTGGGCCTGGCCCTTGGGCTCGTCTCCATCTGGTCCCCTGCAAGCTTCACCTATGGGTGTGGGCATGGGCAGCGCCGGTCCTGCCGAGGTGCCAGCCGGTGCCACTCCCCATCCTGGGGGGCGGGAGCGTCCTGCTCTGAGGATGGCCCCGGGGGGCATTCTGTCCAGGCACACCTGCCCTGGGGCAGTGGCTGGGTCCCAGGCCACCTGCTGGCCACCCACTGACGGGGACCGGACTCACAGGGCCCACAAGCCACACCTGGGAGGCCGCCCATCGACCCCAGGGTGGCCAGAGGCGGGCAGGCTGGGGTGAGCCAGAGGCTGAAGCGGCCGGACCGGACCCAGCAGCCTCGGCCCTCGCCCGGCCTGATTCTGAGGGGCCTCTGCCTCCTGGGGGAGCTGGAGTGGGGAGAGGAAGTCAGAGCCGGGAAAGGGGTGAGCTGGGCAAGGTGGCCCCAAGAGTGGCCCGGCCCCTGCACAGGATGGGGCGCTGCCCCCCGCTTCCTCCCCCCCCCCCCCAGAAGTGCCCTGCAAGGGACCTGGCCCGGGACAGGTGGCGGGTTTTCTTGTTGATGCCACACGGAGCCCCGCCCTCAGCCGCCCTGGCCGGGCAGGGGGCTCGCCGTCTGCGGGCTGTAAATAACGCTTCTCTTGGTTTTTTATCGACTGGCTCCCCGGCTCCACTCCCTCCGCAGTGACTCCGCTGTCCGCCGTGCCCAGTGCCGTATTTATGGAATGACCAATAAACTCAGGCCGCGGTCTGTCCGCTGTGCTCTTCTCCTTTCCGGCTGAGGGCCGGGAGGGGGCTCAGGGCTGGCCGGGGGGGGGGGGGGGGGAAGGGGGGGGGAAGGTGCCGCCATCCAGCAGACGGGGCCGCCAAAGACTGGCCAAGGGCGGCTGGGAGAAAAGGTGCAGAGGCAGAGATTGGGGACCCAGACCCACCCCATCTCTCCCCAGTGATTCAGGAGTGGGGGTGCCCCCACCACCATTACATACTCTCTGGCTGCTGGGGGGCTCAGTGCCCTCTGGGGACACAGGTTGGGGGTCAGTGTTTCTCTGATGCAGTGGGGGCTGGGTTGAGGGGTGCAGGTGGGAGGGCTGGGCACCACCCAGGCACACCCTTCTCTGGGGGCCCCTGTGGGGCTGGGTCTTCTCAGGTACCTCCCCCATCCCCCCACATCCCTCTGCTCCCCATGCTCCCAGCCCCACCCCCTTCCAGGCCGTGAGAAAGGAGGGAAAACAGACTCAGTCTTTCCCAAAGGGTTTATTAAAACGCAGAAAAACAAGACACACGAGTACAAGGCGAAGGGGCGCTCGGCGGCCGTCTGCCCAGCGTCCCTCGTGCCCTCCAGGGGCGGGACAGGTCACCACGCACAGGGGCTCCGCTCCCAAAGCTCCCCCCCCAGCCGGGACTCCCCCAGCCGGAGTCCCCCCCGCTGGGACCCAGGGCGGCGGGCAGGGGGCCTGGCCCCTCTGCTGGGCCAGAGACAGGCTCAGGCTCCCACCTCGAGGCCAGGGGTTCAGGACACACACACACCTGACGGCCCTTTCCGGGTGATTGTACTTAAAAAAATACTTTGTTTTAAAAAAAAAAAATCTGAAAACTAAAAAAACAATCTAACACACAACACCAGTGACTTTGGGCTGAGATGCCACAACCTGTAAACTTCCAGGGACGGCACAGGGGCTGGAGCCGCTCCCTCGGCGGAGGCGTCTGTGGCGGGCCCGGGGCAGTGGCCAGGCCCAAACCACGCTCCACGGCCCCGGATCCCTCCCTCACCACGAGCCTCCGACCCACAGGAGCCCTGATCTCCGGACGCTGGGAACAGGGCAGAGGGTCACCAGTCTCAGCTGCCAGCCGGGGCCGGGGACACCCTGGAAGGAGCCCCGGAGGGGGTGGCGCCCAGCAGCTGTGGGCATCAGCAGGACGTTGGTCACAATTGGCAGAAAACAAAGGAGCTTCTGAAGGCGGCGGGCAGGGCAACCTCCGGGCGGGGCCCCCCCCCTCGTCCGCTGGAGCCCGGCCCAAAGGTGACCCCACAGAAGCCAACTGGGCACGGGTTCAAATAATAACAAAATGGCAGCCTGGCGCCTGGGCTCCACTGGCCAGGGGTCTGCCAGGGGCAGAACCAAAGCCGCCCAGGTGCCAGAGCAGCGGCCTCCGCGCCGGCGCCGGTGACTGACAACCAAGGAGGAAACGTCCTCACGATCCTTCTCTCCCAGAGCGGTCACAGACACTCCCTCCCCGTGCCCCCGGCCTCGTCCTGGGCCTCCGGGCACTGGGCGTGGAGACCATGGCCTTTCCCAGCCGGCAGTGCCGGGGGCCGGGCCGACTGTGGGCACCTGGCTCCGGCCCGGAGAGAAGGACTCGGGGTGCTGGCAGAGGGGGCAGAGGGGGCAGAGCGGGGCTCCCCGGGAGGAAGGGCGGGAGGGAGGGGCCACAGGCCTGGGGCAATGGCCGCAGACCCCTTCCCGCTGCCAGGTGCCTCCGGCCTGACGCTCGGATGGTCCACGTGGCCGGGGGAGCTGGCACTGTGCCCCCCGAGGCCGCCCACAGGAAGGGGACAGCTCGGGGCCCGGGTGGAGGGGCCCTGGCGGTCACCTCGCTGAGGGCTGAGCACTGACCGGGGCAGGGCGTGCCGGTGAGCCCCAGGGAGCCCGGATGGCCCCACCGTCCCAGAGTGGCCGGCCGGGCTGTGCGGGTCCTGGGACCTGCAGGTGCTTCCAGACCCTCCCCACCCCCACCCTGATGCCGGGCTGGCCCTGCCCCGGGGGGTCTGCTCAGGACGGAGCATGGGGCTGCCATGATGGAAGGGGCTGGAGGTGAGGACACCCGGGGCCCTGAGAGGGCCGGCCAGTCATACAGCCATTCCCCAGGTGAGCCTCCAGGCCTGGCCCCAGGGCTGAGCCAAGCCCCTCGGGCACCCTCTCAGATGGGATTCTCACCCAGAGTCGCCCCAGGATGCCCTGGGCTGAGCGTGACGGACAGGCCCGGGCCTGGCCCACCCCCTGCCTGCCCACACCTGGGCCGTCACGGGCACCCCGGCTGGTGGAGGGGCAGGACTGCGTTCCTGGCAGGAATGAGCTCTGGGGGCGCACCTCGGGCACTAGGCCCTGCGATGACAAACCAGGGACAAGTCCACGCTCTGGGGGCTGTCTCCCTGGTTCCTCCGCATCTGCAGACGACGAGCTATGGGGATTGGGCGGGGGGGGGGGGGGGGGGGGGGGGGGAAGGGGGCTGGCGGGAAGGGCCTCGAGGTGGTGAGACGGCCTCCCAGGGCAGGGCCCAGGGCCCCCGGGCCACCTGCAGAGCTGCTGTGACTTCCCTGTAAAGCTGGCACACCTGTGGGTCCACACACACCTGTCCACGCACACCTGGCAGGTGGCCCAGATGCAGGCTCAGCCACACGGCCTCCCCCCACGCAGGAGCACGCACTGGGCCTGCCCCGCAGGGCAGTGGCCTCGGGCTCGAGGATGCTGACAGAGCCCGGGACGGACACACTGTCAGCCCACCCCCAGGAGGCCGCTCCGCGCCCCCCTTGGTCCCCAGCCCCGGCAGGAGGGGAGAACACAGGCCCGCCCGAACCCGAACCCTCGGCAGCAGGTCTCCGGCGTGGGGCCAGGCTGCCTGGCACCGGGGGCCGCACGGGGGCGGGGGCAGAGCGGGAGGCAGTGTAGGCGGGAGGGCGGGCGGGGCACACGAGAGCTCGGGGCGGACGCCGCAGGGCCGGGGCAGCGGCAGGGTTCCGGGAGCTTCCGTCCGTCCGTCCGTCCGGAGCCCGCTGGCTGACAGACAGACAGACGTATGCTGGTTAGTCTCCTCCCTACGCCACTCAACTTTTATCAGGACGAACCCGTCCGAGTCTTCAATAGGAAAGTGCAAACGATGTACAGGAAACGAAGTCTGCGCTACCGCGGCGCCGGCGGGCGGCCGGGCGCG